CAACCTACCAATTACATATTGATAGCTATAACATAAGAATCCGAATAAATTAATAGAGAAAAATGGAAGGAGAAAAAAAATTGGAAGCAATAGCTTTCACCTTGCAGTTGATGAAAGGATTAATAAAGGGCCTGCAAGAAAATTGCAATTAGAGACAGTGAAAGGCTCAATTCGTACCATTTTTTTGTACAGTTGATTTATGGTGTTATTCAGCTCAACCGAATGCCACAAATTAACTTCTTCTGTTAATTGTATTCTCTGTGGGTTTGGTGTCCTCACAACTCCATGACAGAAGGTCTCAAAATTGGGACATTGAACCACTATTAATTCTTTCAACAATGGCAACTCGAATGTGAAATTTGCAGAACAGAAGCTTGCGAGTCTTGTTAAGCATTTTAGTTCCAAAACTTTTAATTTGCTGAAAACAATCACATGTCCTAATTCATCTCCTTCATCCCTAACAATTTCACTCAGCAATTTGCATTGTTCTATCCTCATTGTTTGGAGATGCACCAGACTTTGGACTGTTGTGGATGAAAACAAGTTTCTTAACTTTTGACAGCTTGTTACAAACAAAGTGGTGAGATTTCGGAAAGATGCTGTGGATTCTGATAAGCTAATCAAACAATCGCACCTCTGCACTTTAAGAGATTTAAGATTTGGTAGGTCTGATGGTGAGCCTTGGTTCCAAATATACTTCAGATTACAGAGCGCATCCAGCGTCAACTTTCTAATACGTAATTGCCATCCCACATCTTTCTCCTGACAATCAATGGATGCCACAGAAGGGAACAACTCCTTGAAAGAAGAACAACCAATAAAAAGCTTTTCTAAATTGAAGAATCTTTCAATAAAACGGGATGGAAAATCCGCTGGTTCATTGTGGTAGCAGAGAAGACGAAGAACTTTAACATTGGAAAAGAGGTCTTCTGGAAATTCGCCATTACATATCATTGCAATGTCATCACTTGTTAGTGACAGTGCCTTCAATCTAGGAACGACCTGGATGCCAATGCAACAAAACATAAACGTTATACTACTTTACTTTTCCAGTGTTGATATTGAAAGATATTAGATATGCATTTCCAAAGGATTAACACTAAAAAATAGATAGAATTAATTATTATATTGATGATGAATGAAAGAGAGCTATAGTGATTGATCCATGTGCTTCGACCTGATGGCTAAGATCATGGATTAGTGGGGAACACCTTTTGTGAATTGTCTATTTGAGCTCCACGGATCCCATTTCTCTTGTCCTCAATATACTTAATATAATATGCACTAATTGCTTTCGTTCAAATAAAAAAAAAAAAAAAGAAAAACAGAAAGAAAGAAAGAAAGAAAGAGAGCTATAGTGATTGAAAAGGAGAGAAGGCCTAAGATCTCCTATCTTAGGTCTATACATGAGTATTTATAGTCTGCTACAATAGAGTTCAAGTAGTCTTCTATCCTTTGTGTGGGATCCTACCAACTTCTAATTAACTATATGTGCAGAGGTTTTTGTTGGAAATGGTGCCTTGAATTGTTATGGAAAATCCTTATGGAGTGTTGGATTTAGAAACATAGTGAGATTTAATCTCCTAATTAATTTAATTCCAACTTGATTTGCAAGAAACCTTAGGACCCACACGACTATATCGTAGCTCTTATTCGGACTTAAATTTGCACCCTAGTAGGAATCTAAGAATCTTAGTTAGATTTAGTATAAATGTGTTATAAGTAAAATTAAATGTGTTTTTATTACCCATGCTCTATTGGGTTGATTAAAGGCTATTGGGTGATTAACGGCTTTTGAGTCATGATTGGTGAGCAAAGAGATAGAGAGAGATGTAAGGAGTATCTTAGAGAGAGTTTTTAAAGAGATAAAGGTGTATTTAGAGGAGATTGATAGGGGGTTTCTAAAATTGTAACTCTTTTATCTTGCTTAGTGAATTTCTTATCTTGTTTTACGCTTTTTTTTAAAGGTTTTTCACGTTAAATTGATGTTTTCTTTTTATTATTTTGCTTTATTATTATTCATTTGCTTTGACTTCATTTAGTATGGCTGGGATTTTTTATTTTGGTTTCAAATTTCAAATAGTTAAAATTAGCAATTAAAAATTAAAATTAAAAATTAAATTTGTAACTTATTAAGTATACATTTTTAAAAGTAATACCTAAAACTTCTAACTTAATTAATTTATACAACATCTTAATTTTATTCTAAAGTTTTTAAATTTTTAAAAATAAAAACCAAAAACTCAAAACCACAAATTGAAATCAGTCAAATCTCCCAACAATTAGTATCATGGTATGAATAGAGAATTTTATTCTAACAACGGTATCCAAGATTAGAGGCAAAATTTTATTCTGTGATGTAGCTCTGTTGATTAGTAGAGGTCTCCAAGCAGAACTCTAATTCATCTTTTCCTTGAGATTTACTTTTTTAGTGTTGGTAGAACTCTTGTAGGATGATTCCATGTATCCTAATCCACATGACTCAATTTTGTAAAAAATCCAAACAATAAATTATGGTAATAAGTTCTAGAATTATTATGATAAATAGATTTAAGGCTTTAAGGCAATAGGTTAATGCATGTGTAAAAGCTACCTATATACTCAATTACATAATAATAAAGTATGATGATTGTGTTTGGGATTATTGTGTGAAGTATTATAGTTGTGGTTGTGATTTTTTTAATATTTTATTATAAAAAATTATTTATTATTTGATAATTGCTTTGAAAATAGTCTTATACATTAGAGGAGAGATTCATTTATAGACA